CGCCTGACAATGAAGGCCTCCTCTCTGCTCCTGTTGCTTTGCTGCCTTCTTGACAAGAAAAAACTCTGCAATAAAAGACGATGGTGGTCCACGTATCAATTGTATCTTGGGTTGACTAAGACATAGTGAATGCAGGACGATTGAGCGGGGCGACCGCCTCGTCTCTGAAGCGGTAGGCTCAGTTGTAAACCTTACGCAAACCTGATAGAATTAGTCTCAAAAGATACGCATTTACCATGACCATGTCCAGCAAACCTAAGAATAGGCTCTTATAATATTTCGTGAACCTCGTCGACATTTGCAGTGAATACGACTGGAGACGGAGTTGATCGTGGACATCAACTCCGCTCATCCAGTTCTGGTAGTCATTTACAGCAGAGGGGCACGGCACTCGAACCGCACCGATACGTTTTATTTTTCGCTCAATTGTCGACGCCGCCATAATGGAGCCCGTACAGAGATAATAGACGGGCTTCCGGTCCCACCAAACACAGGAAATCATGGTCGGGATGGCGATAGAGCGAGAGAACGAGAATGTACCGTGGGGTATGCTCACTGGGCGTGTCTTGCTCGTAGCCCTGAGATTCGGGTTGAATCCAAGCCGGTTAGTCATGATCGTGCCAATAACATACACCTTCATACTCAGGAGCTCAATCGCAAGGAGCACGGACGAGTAGTAGCGATCGATTACGACGGTATGCCACTTGTGACGAGACTGGGCGAGAACAATCTTCAAATTCCGGACCACGGCTGCAGCTCCAGTCTTAAAGTCAACTGAGGTGTCAGGTCCACCAGCAGATGCACGCTTACCCACATAAACTTCGAACCTAGATAGTTACGACATTCACTGTTGTCAGGCAAACACAAAGTAGATAGTTACGACATACAAATTTTAAACGTACCTGTGGCAGTATGCCGTCTGCGCGTCACAGACCATAAATAGTTTGGACCCGTAGCGGTGAGGCTTGTCGGCCATGAACATCCGGGTCGTGTTCCGCTTCGACGTGGACGGCAGTATACCCTCATCAAACGAAAAAATAGCAGAAAGAGACCACCCCAGCAAAAAGCGCTCTTGGACCTTGTCAACAACGGGGCGAAGTTTCCAGAGTTTATCGTTACCGTGGTCAATCGTGTTGTCTACGAAGTGCAAGTCTCGCATGATACTCTGGCACCTGTCACGCGTCATGAACCGCCCGAAAAGACCGGCGGGAACAGCACCGTCTTCCACCATACTCCAGTGCGCACCAAATCGTTTCTTTTGAGGGCAGAGCATCCGTGCAACGAGGAGTCCAACAACGTGAAGAATCTCGTGTGTAGAGTATGCTGCCTTAGCCTTCAAACGACGTGTAATCTGCTTGATAGTTTCACGCCGAAGGTCAGTCTGCCGTGCCTGAATGTTACGGGCGCGCTTGCCAGCTTGCTGTAGACCATATCGGTTCGTTTCAGCCGCGATAGAAACCCACAGAGATTTCGGCATGAAATAAAAGAAGGTGAGGATTGGCGATCTCCATAATTGCAGCAGGTCGGGCACAGGCCTTGCTTCTTCGGTGCCCAGTCCAGGGTACGCAGCAGCATCTGTCTCGTACTCCGAAGACACTGGCGTCCACTGCATTCCTCGTAGTGTCTGCTCTCTCTCCGTTGCAGCGGTTCTGCTAAGTGCGTTATTGCCCACCTGTAGTGCCGCAATGAAAGCCTTGTCCATTTCAACTGCGTCACTGTCGGACAGGACGTCGTCATCTTCCTCGGACATCCCGGCTCCGGAATCGCTGTTAATATCACTCATGCCGTCGTCGTCGCTATCACCCGAGCTGTAGTTCTCGTAGTCACTCGGCTTCTCCCCATCCAGCAAAACATTCACGTCCTCTTTGCCTGATAACGGCGTAAGTGTCCGTCGTCGAGGTTGAGACGCAGCGGCTTCTTCTTCGTCTACATCACCCTCGCTCTCTAATCCAGAAGCCTCCGAAAGTAAATGCAGTCCAGCAGCGGCCTCGCGGGCACCGCCGTCTTGTAGATTTTCTGAGGATAGATTGAATGCTCTGCTCACTGCAGTCTGCGACAGCTCGATGTCATCATCACTTGGGGTGCCGAACATTCGATCAATGGTATGCTGCGAAAGAAGGACACTCGTGTCGATCTGGGAAGGCCGAACGACGTCTTCCCCCTCGTGTTGTTGCTCTTCACCACTACTACCAGCTCCTGCTTGGTCTAGTTCCCCACCTTCTTCATCTCGGACTTGAGCATCAGCATCCGCCTCTTCCAGCAAGCCACTGTCGAACGCGTAGTCCACGACTGATTTCTCCCCCACGAAGACGTGCGTGTTGTCAGGACTCGAGTAGCTCCACTCAGTCTGGAGGCCACTCGGACGCTTGGACTTCCACCCCGCCGCCCGAAGCTGCCGCCATAAGTGGCCAAAGTCAATATCGTGTGTAGCGGCAGCCGGCGCGGCGGGCTTCTCGCGTCGACTATTCCGTATGCGCACCATCCAGCAAAATGTCGAATGAGTGGCTGTTCACGACGTGGCTGATCCCCTTCCCCTGGCCTGGTTTTGACTTGTAGCAAAATGACCTCTCGCAGATTATATTTTTGTGGTAACTTGATTAAAGTATTGAAAAAACTTTTCCGAGCCATTTGCTAATGACCTTCGTGCAATGTCGTAATATACGACGTAACAAAAATAATATGTCGTCTTATACGACGTTCGTAAGCAAGGTGTTAAAGGTGTGGATAGTACAATGTTGCACTTATTTCGTCCCGGAGGAAGTAGATAAAACCGTGTTTAAAAAAGACAGACATGGAATCTTTATCTTACGTTTTAAACATGCAAAAAGGACGATCGATTGCTGAAATCCAAGGCTGTCGTAGTTCGATTTATTAGCCTGCATAATAAATTAAATGACCTGGTAGGTGAAAACGCAATATTAGTAATTTAAAACTGCTAAAAAGTGCTTTTAAAAAAAGCACTTAGAAACACATTTTTGAGATCACATTATAAAATAAAATGTCTTCCACAAAAAATTAAGGACCTCTGAGAATCGATGCAGATAGTGTGAGACTACATTTTGATCTTCCTTGGACAAACAGCGTTCTTAAATCCCACCCTTGGGAGGGATGACATAGTGAGTGGGAGGTAAAATTTGTTTTTTGTTTAATAGCTGACTTTATGGATTATTTGAATATTTGTCAATATTTAATGTAATGTAGTACCCAAGTTCTGACATATGCCTTTGTACAAAAGCGGAATTGAGGGTTAGGAAACAGAGGTCACGCGATGGCATTACTTATTAAACATCAGCTCTATGCGAACCTGAAGCAGTGTACCTTCGGGGCGAGCGAGATACCCGTCCTTTGGTGTCCAACAGCGTACGCCCAGGCCCAGAAAAGGTCAGAGTGATTAATGAATGGCCTTTGCCATCCAACGTAAGGGAACCGAGGCAGTGCCTTGGGCCTGCAACCTACTTGTCCAAGTACACCGATAATTACGTGGGCAAGATTCGCCCGCTGTCGCAGCCTCTTAAGAACAAAGCTGAGCAAA